ACAGTGAGAGTTCTTGAAAAGGGAACCAAGTTTAGAGATCTCAAGCAGAAGGTCAGCCAGGGGTGCCCGACACCCTCCAGGCTGGGGGTGGGACTGTGGTTGGTCACCCAGGTCAGAGCAGGCAGCCCAGCAAGCCATAGGTGAGCGGCCAAATCTGAGGCTGGGCAGCAGCCACCTGATACAGCTTGTTCCAGAGCCTTTCAGGTAAGAGACCTGTCCACGTCTGAAGAAGAACCCCTCACCCTGGTCTCTTCTTGCCTCCTCCCTAACCACCCTAGTGTCTGTCAGGCTGAAGCCCGGGGCACCAAGGTTCCCAGTTTTAAATAGGATTTCTTCCCAAGCCCCCAGGCACTCTGTTGCAAACAACATAGAGGGTCCGCAGTCTGGGAGGCTGCTTCTGCCACCAGAGCCTGGGAAGGAGACTGAGCCTGGGTTTCTTCAAGGGCTGGGTCACTGTGCCCTCACTCTCCCAGTCCTGCTCCTGGCTCAACCCTGACTTCTCAATGCTCTTGATACAGCCTGCCCTGGCCCTGGATCGAGGCCCAGCCAGGACTCACCATGACAACAGGGCAGAGCTGGGTGCCCAAGGCATTTCCCTCTCATGTCCCCTGGCCAGGCAAGGACTGGGTCACTGCTGCCCCAGAGGCCCTGTTGAATTGCATGCAGTTCAGAGCTTAGTGGCCTGGGCCACATGTCAGCAGGGAGGTAATTAATCTCTCCAGTAGCAGCCCCGCTGCCCAGGAGTGAGGAGGGGCAGAAAGAGGGCCTGGGGGAAGACTCAATACCCTCCCATGCCCTGGGCCCCTCTTCAGCATAGCCCACACTCTGCCTGCTCCCTGCCTGCCTGCCCGGGGACCCCACTCCCTTTGACAGCAGTAGGGCCAGTGGAGATGCTCAGGGAGTGTTTTGGGGGTGACTGCTTGCTCATCTGGGGAGAGTTTGAGATTGCTTGGGGCGCCTTCCCCAAGGTCCCAAAGTTGAGAAAAATTGGAGGCCTGTGCCAAGGGCACTCTCCCTCTGGAAAGGAGACCAATGCCTGTAGGGGCTGGGGGTCATCCTGTCCAAGCCTCTCATTTTCTGATGGGGGAACCGAGTACATGGAAGAAAAGGCCCTACTCCAGTTTACCCAACCAGGGAGTGTCAGTCAGAGCCAGAGAGGGGACCTCCTGCCCCTACCCACCCCAGCCCCACCCCCACCCCAGGCTCTTTCTCTGCCCTCACCGCCCCGCATGTGTGAGCTCCACATCCGTTGAGGAATGCGGAGGCGGAAGAGTCTGGGCAGTGAACAGGAGTATGGAGCGGATGGGCTCGCCAGGTAATATTCCTGCCCCACCCTGTATCTTGTGCCCTGCTCCTCCTATGCACAGATGCTGTGAGGAAAGGCCAGGGTTGAGCAGGCTCAAAGGGAGACCTCATGGCCGTCCAAAGCAAGGGCTTTGTTCAGAGAAAACTTTCTCAAGGTTAGAGGGAGCTGTGGTAAGGACACCTCTGGGGCAGGATGGAGCTGCCTGTCCCTCTCCCAGACTGTGAAGCTGGTCAAGTTTTCCTGAGGCCCTCTCTGCACCTGTTGCTCCCTGCCCTGCCACTCGCCTCATGTCCCACTTGCGGCCGTGCCCGCCTGCTAGGTCAGTGACTTTCAACTCTGGCTCCACATTAAGTCCTCCTGGGGAGGTTTAAAAACCATCCATGCCCCACCTATTAAGTCTGAATCTCTGCAGCTGGGGTTGAGAAGCATCGTTCAGGCAGCCAACTTCTTTGTCACACCACCACACAAACGTCCCTGGCCCTCTCAGGTCCTGCTCATGACACCGATTAACTCAAACTATGGGGTTACAGGCTTCGTGGTTACCTGAGCACTGGAAAAGGTGTGCAGAGCACACATGGTCTCTGTTTTCCAGAACAAGTGAGGGCTCAAGACCACCACAGCCAAGAATTGCCCTCAGAGCAGGGCATGATGCACCGGAGTGTGTGCACATGGAATGAGAAGGGTTCAGGGTTTTCCCAGGAACCAATTCTCCTGGCAGACCATTCAAGGGGCCCCTCCTGATTGCAAGGGATCACCAGACCTTGGCAAGACTGGTTTGAAAACCCAAGTTTGAAAGGATTCCTGGTAAGACACTTGCTCTCCCTGGTGGTAATAATGGGAATTGCACACCCTCGGACAAAGGCTATTTTTGTTGCTACTGTGGTTAAGAGAAATGTATCCAGTCACTTCTCAGGCTTGGGTGTTCTTTGTGACTCAGTTTGTATAGGAATTGTGGAAACTCCCAGAGTGAAAGTTCAGTAGCTCCCAGTCCATGAGTCCTTCATGAGAAGGGAAGGAGAAGTGAGGAGAAGGGCCCAGACCAGGAGCAGGTCACAGACCTCAGAATGCCGCCAGGAACAGAATGCCGCCAGGAACCGTGGTTCTCAGCACTGGCTGCTCTCCAGAGTCACTTGGAAGTTTGTTAAGCATCAGCTTGAGTGAGCCTCTCAAGACTGATATTCAATATGTCTGGAGGGGATGCTGGGTATCTGGTGGTTTGAAGAGCACCCCAGATTCTCTGGGTAGTTAACCTGGTATGTGATGAAGCCTCACGTTTCATGGGATTAAAGGCTTGCAGCAGGGGCAGAGACAGAAAATGACTCACCCAGGACCATTTTCCCTCCAGAGTAGCTGGAATTTTTCTCTGCGTTGGTGGACTCGGAGACTGTAAATGGCGGCGGGGGTGGGGGGACCCTCCCCCCCAGGGGACCCCCCAAACAAACAGAATTATCTTCTGGAGGATGAGCCCCTTGTGGTACAGGCTTCCCCTGCTAGGTGAGTGATCTAGTGCAGGAACAATGAAGTTAGTCAGGCTCCCTCGCCCAGATGTCTGGGCAAACATAACTTAGCAGTGTTCACATAACCTTGAACAGGGGCCCGCATGCGTAGAATGAAGTTCTGTTATATAACTAGAAGGTCAGTATTGGCAGCTTGCCAGCTTTGTGTGCACTTAGCATATGAGGGAGTCGGGACTTCTGTGGTGCGATTCACAGCTGTGGCACGTGCAGATTGCCCCACCTTGGAATAAAGGCATGCCAGACATCCCGAGGGCTCCATGTATATTCTTCTTCCAACTGCCCGAATCCAGTGTGAACCTGCCTGGCGCTGAACGCTCACAGGACATCTAGGAGCCCATCTGTATCAGTGTACCAGCTTGTTGTGAGAGGCTATGTTCAGTGAATTTTTTTCTGAAGACTCTTTCAACATGTTTGCCCATTTCATGAGGGATGATTCATGAGCACACCTGCCCACACTGTGCTGAGTGTTCAGCACTTTTTGACCAAAACCAGCATGACCCCCATGCCCACCCTCCCTAATCATCAGAACTCACTCTGAGTGACTTTTTGGTGGTGGTGGTGTTTTCCCAGGTGAAAAAAGCTGTCAAAGGGATATATTTTGCCAATGTGGAAGAAGTGAAACAAAAAATAGGAGAAGCACTACAAGGCATCAAAATCGATGAGTTCAAAAACTGTTTTGAGAAGTGGAAAAAAACGTTTCAATAGGTGTATTACATCAAATGGAGAGTACTTTGAAGATGACTGAAGTTGATACATGTAAGAATAAATTTTTTAAATTTTACAAATAAAATCCTGGGGTTCTTTTTGGTCTCCCCTCGCATACAAAACATTTTTCTCTCCACTGCCCCACGTGGACCACGGGCCTGGAGTGCCCCCTCTTCCTGTTTGCATTGTTGCTGCATCCAGGAAGCTTCAGGAGCTCCCGAAGACCCCCTGGGTGGGCCCGCTCCGTTCCGTTCACGCCTCCCACTGTCATGGACAGCCCAAGTGTGTGCCCATCTAAGGTATAAAAATGAGTTCTATCTAGGAGTTGGCCCATCACATTATATTTGTCACCAGTGAATGAGCCCACATTCAAAGCAAGTTCTGAAAAGTGAGGATTGTCTATTTTTCTCTCTTACAGACTTTCTGTGCTTAAGCCCTCTGTGATTCTGTGAGGGCTGATGGTCTTCAGGATCTGGGGGACAGTGGATTAAGACAAAGAGCTCAGTTTTCAAGCAAAATGGTGGCTTACCCTGCCTCTGTTCCCCGAACACATTCTATTTATTGTAAACTCTGCTAAAAATGCTGTTATCTTGGGCTCCCCCATCAGCCCTCCCCTCCCCTTCCACAGAGGCCTGCAGACCCAAACGTGAAAGGCGGACACTAGGTGGTGCCACGATCCCACCATCCCATCCAGCCTCCTGGAGGCCTCCATCAGGAGGGGAGGGAAAGGGCAGAGCTGCGCTGGGGAGCGCACTCTCCTGCAAGGGCCCAAGGGCAGCAGTAGGAGGGCCAGCCTGACACCATCTCAGGCTGAAGTTGTCCTGGGTGGGGGCCTGCCAGATGAACAGGGGCTGCAGGAAGGGAACAAGGGCCCTAGCCCTGGGATTAGCAAAGCCAGCACCCAAAACATGAATGAGAGTAGGTCTAGATGAGGTCCCCTGGCCCCAGGAGTAGAAAGGGGGCGGCCTGGGCTTAGCACCAGTATCAGGAGGAGGGCAGGGAGAGAGAGCATGTGCTGAGGCCCCCCAGACCACCCATCTTGGCATGTTGGCGCACTTGGGGAGATGGCAGACCACATAATGTGGCCACCAACTGCTACACTTTTGGCCTCCGAGGCCTGTCTGCAGCAGCTTCCAGCAGGATAGTTCCAACAGTGGGACCCAGAGCCTGGGCAGCTAGATACCCAAGCAGCGCCCAACAGACCCAATGGCTTTGAACCTGTGACATTCAGACTCGTGGATTTCTGGCTGTCTGGCATTTGGAAGGCAGGCTGAGTCCTCTCTCTGGGAGCTCTTGGTAATCCAGGGGCAAGGCGGGGGCCTGCTTGCTTTAAAAGGGCAATTAATCGAAAAGCAAGAGACCAGGCTGTATCGTACTCAACTTGGACAGGTGAGTCATGGCAGTGACAGGAGAGAAGGAGGGAGGGAGGCAGGCTGAGGGACGCAGGCCAAAGAAGGAGCCATCTCTGAGCTCAGCTTTATTATTAGGAAGCGGTGACGTGGGGTGTGAGGATGCCCTTCCAGGGGTCACATGAAGCCTGGTGCCTCCTTCAATCTGAAGACCTGGTGGTTCTGGGACAAAAGTCTGCAGCTCAGGGAAGGCTTCTCAACTGTCCCCAGTGCCATGGTGGCACAGCTGACTCTGAAAAGACAAAGGCAGGGTTTAGGCTGTGATGGGCAGAGGTGGGGATTTCTATTTCATTCCTTAATTATTTTACCTTTCTCCAGGGCATCTCTGTAGCCCCCATTGGCCACAAAACCATGCCAGGCACTTGGCCATCTTTTCAAAACACATAACAGGTGATACTCTGCCTGGCTGATGAAGGGAGGACCCTAAAATTCTTCCCGGCCCAGTCCCACGCTCTTCCTTATTCATCCACAGGCCTCCCTGGCTGCACCCCTCACCTACCCCTCCCAAATGTACCTGTCGTTACAGCTCATCTTCACTGGCTGGCCTGGGATGGGGGGAGGAAAAAAGACAGACAGGTAAGAGGTCAGCAGGAAAGGTATTAAGCCTAGGATCCCTAAGGTTGGGGGCACCTCCTAACAATCTTCAGAGACCAAAATTCTCAACCTGTTCCTCCTTCCCCTGCCCCCACCCACCTCAATCCATTACCCGAGGCAGGCACTTACCGATGCTTCTTTTTGCCTCCGCAGCGGAGTCTTTTGCCTTGAAGAGAGAAAAGAGGTCGGTTTCCATAGTCTTCTCACTTCCACAGAGACCCTGTCTTCCCTGGAGGACTCCACTTTGCAGCCTTCCCTCCCTCCTCCCTGCCGGCACTGCAGAGAGGTCCTGGAGTGTGACTTGGAGGCCACAGCTGACTGTCTCTCTTTATATAGGGCTGGGCTAAGCCCAAGTCAGTCAGTCAGTCAGTCAGCTGGTCCATCGACATTGCCTGCAGTGGGTCCTCAGTGGCCTGGGAGCTCATGAGAGTAGTGGCCAGCCCTGGGCCATCGTGATGCTCTCAGCACTGGGCTGGGCACAGAGCAGCTACTCAACAAGCTCTTGGAGATGGATGGCAGTAAGTCCAAGGCTGCTGCTCTGGCCTGTCTGCCTCTGCACCTGTATGCTCAACCGCTACACACTGCTGCCCTCAAGAGGCTTCCAGGAGAACCTGGGGGAACCAGCATGCCTGCAGACAACAGCCTCTAGGTGGGGTGGCATTGACCATGGCTGTGTTAGAATCCCAGGACACAGGAGTGCACTTGCTACATTCTGTATCTTCTTTTCACTCTTTGTATTTCTGTGTATTTCTCTTCTGGTTGCACCAAAACAAGTCAACAATTGTTCATTAAGCCGGGATGGTGTGCCTACTGGGGCTGGGAGATGCACAAGGACCCTTCTAGAACACACCATATCTACGCTGGATCCTTTGAAGAGTTTTCTTGGCCGCCATGTCTTTGGATGCTAGCTTTAAGCTCATGAGGCAAGTGAGATCATCCCTACTTCACAGATGAGCAAAACTTGGCCCAGGGAGCTGGGGTTCCATGTAAACTAGCAGTGAGGCCTAAGACTCTGGCTCTCAGCTACACTTGCTTTCTAGCAGCAGGTGGGGAGTAGGTGCAGGGTGGACACCCCTGGACAAGCTGAACCATCTCTGCTTCTGATTGGCTGTGGAACTGTGGGCAGGTTGCTGCACCTCTCACTATGCGTCTAATCTCACCTGGAAAATCGTCACAGTCATGGCCATCCCCTGGTGTTGCTGAGAGGATTAAATGGGCTGGATGTAGCTCAAGACAAGAAAGTGCCAGGCCTGAGGATGTGGGGTGTCCAGTAGAGGTTAGTTCCCTCCCTTACCTGACTCCCCCACCCCCCATGTACAGGGGAGCTTCCCAGGGTCAGAGGTAGCCAGTTCCCCACCTTGGCAGCTCCTCCTGGGTCCACTAGAGGGTGCTCTTGAGAAAGACGAAACTTCCTCTGTGTGGTCCGAGGACCAAGTAGGGTGACAGACCAAAATGCCTCTCTCCAGCAGGGTGTCTCTCAGTTCCCACATCCAGTACAAGGGAATGGGGTATAGCAGAGAGACCCACTCCTTCCTTCCAGCATCTGGAGAGGGGGTGAGAGAGCTCTCCCCTACCCCGACCTGGGAAGCCAATGGGCTCAGCAGCTTTGAGAAGAGATGCGCCCCCATCAAGCACCCCACCCCTTCCAACATGAGGCTGGCCCCACTTACTGAGGATGATGATGAGCCCCACCACGAAGGCCAGGGCAGCAAAGATCAGGCCCCCATTACGGACAGTCTCATAGTCTGAAGAAGCAGAGGGCAAGGGGGTGGGGTGGGTTATCTGGGCCCTCCTCCCCTCAGCCCACACTGACAGCAGCCCCATGGCAACTGGGGAAGATGGGGGCACGTAACCAGGGCTGGGAGATGCTGAGAAGCAATGGGGAGTGCATGGGGGCAGGCTCAGGAAAGGTAGGCGGAGGGTTCCTCCAGGCTTACCATAGTAGAATGGGTCGGTATCCCCCTTGGGGCTGCCACCTGAAGAGAGCCAAAGACAAGGGTGAGGGGCAAGTCACAGATGGTGCAGTGTTCTGGCCATAGAAACAGCGGAACTCTGTCCTTCTTGTCCTAGCACCAGCGCCCCCAGGTCTAAGTGGGCAGAGGTATGCTGGTGAAGAGAGCCCCCTGGAAAAGGAGGCTGGTGGTATGCAAATGTAGGGGCATCTGCCCTAGGCTGCTTCTGACACAGTCAACCTGGGACCAAATCCTAAGCATCCAAAGCAGGGAGCCCTGCTGCCTGTGGGGCCTCAGGCAACTCTGTGAGAGGTCAGATTTTTTCTTCTCCTTGCTTGATACGAAAGTAGGAAAAGACCGAGAAAGACATCTCCCATTAGACTCCCTGGCAGCCTCTCCTCAAAAGACTTATCAACTGCAAGGGGCTTAGCAAATATTTGTGAGATGGATGAATGGATGAATAGAGGAAGAAGGAAACTGAAGCCCAGTTTGGAGACTGTCCAAAATCCCAAGGAAAGTTGGAGGCGGAACTGGTTTTGAACCAGGTTTCTAGATGCTTCCCTCCTATGTGGCTATCCTCTGGGGGAAGCAGATTTATTTAAGAAACATTAGCTATGGCTAGTGTGGCTCAGTGGATTGAGTGCCAGCCTGTGATCCAAAAGGTCTCTGGTTCGAATCCCAGTCAGGGCACATGCTTGGGTTGCAGGCCAGGTCTCCAGGAGGGGGCTCATGAGAGGCAACCACACATTGATGTTTCTCTCCCTCTCTTTCTCCTTCCTTTTCCCCTCTCTAAAAATAAATAAATAAAATCTTTTAAAAATTTTTTTAAAAAAAGAAACATTAATATATGGTGCTTACCACATACCAGGCTAAGACTAACAAGGCATTAGCTTGTTTCACCGCCATAATAGTCCCCATGAGGTATTAATATTATTCCAATATAATCACAAGAAGATGAAGCACCGAGAAGTTCAGTAACTCATCCACACTTATACAACTAGTAAGGAATAAATAAAGCTGGGATTTGATCACAGAAAATGGGTTGCTAAGAATCTAGATACTAAACCCTTTTGCTATACGGCCTCTCAATTAGTTGGAAGAAAGGATACATTTCAGAGCCAAGTCATCTGGTCCAGTCCCCGCCTCCTGGGCTTCTTCCACTCTGATGTGGAACTGCTCAGCTGCCAGCAGCTGTCTCAGCTCTGCCCTCCAGCCCCGTAGACTGAGCACACTTGGCCTTGGGAAGCTGGAGGGCAGCCTGGCCAGAGCTTTTCTGCCACGGCTGACGGTGGCCCCTCTTTCCTGCTTTTGAGCCCCTTCTTGGCACTCGGGAAGCAGTGTCCAAGGTCGAGGGAATGTGCAAGTTGGCACCTTCCAGGCTGGACTGAACTGTGCCCTGGGCAGTGGGAGGTCACAGGGCCTGGTAAGCCCAGCGGTCCCAGCCGTGAGCTCCTTAGGCCAAAAGTGAACAGGCCAAGACGGGTCAGCCTGGGCCTGAACAACAGAGGCAGAGGGGAAGCTGTGTGGGCCCAGGTGCCCGTCCCCACAAAGAAGGCCTTCAAGGTTGTCTTAGTTCAGGTCTTGTTCAAGGTCATATGGGGAGTTAGTACCAGAGCCGTGGCTAGACTCAAGGCTTCCTCACTACACCAGGAAACCATCTCCTCCTGACCACCTCATCTTGAGCTCTTTGAGGAACCTGCCCCTCCCTGCAAGCCCTCACCTGTTCTGGATCTGGCTCCAAGCCCACCACAGTCAGCAAAAGCCCCTGTTGGCCTCCAGGGCTTGAGTCACCCTCCATGACAAGAATCCTCCAGGGACTGTGCCCTTTCCCTGGGGGCTCTCATCTCAAAGCCAGCCAGAGAAGGCTGAGGAGAGTAGCTTGCTGCCTCCCCAGCCTGACTGCCATCTGCCTCCTGCTGTGGGCTTACATCGTCCAGAAAGATATAATGAACCAGGACAGGCTCGTTCCAGAAAGTCAAGATAGAAGCTCATCCCCCCCATCCCAAACCAGCTCCCACCTGATGCCTGTGTTTCCGCCATTTAAACTATATTTCTTTGGAGTTCAGGAAGGAGCCTCTTTTAAAAGCAAATATTATTAAACAGGAGACTGGCCCAGGATGAGGGAGAGGTGCTTTGTACTCTGGAAGGCAGAGCCACCAGATGGAAGAGCGGAATCCGGCTCACCCCTCCAAAGGGTGTCCAAACAGAAGCTCTCCCCTGTTCAGCATGCATCCGCGCATACTCACCATCGTCTGTCGACAACCCTGCCATTTTCCCAATAGATTCGACTCGACTCTGCTGCCTTCCTCCTGCTGCCTCTGCTTCAGGGAGAGTACCTGGCCGTGGGGTGGCCAGGGACGAGGTGGGGGCATTAAACATTAACAGTGCCAGCTAATATTTACCCTGATCACAAGAAAAGCCCTGGTGTGGAGAGAGGGGCTCCCGCTGAGGCATGAGGAGGCGCTCTAACAGGCGGGGGCAGGCAGGAGCTGGCTGGTTTTCCAAACCCTTACAAAGGAAATTTCCAAAGAGGAGAGCCAGGGATGGTCAGCTGTGGTATTCTTCCACAGCTGGAGAAGCCACAGCTGGGGCTGTGGCAATGGGAAGTGGGAAGTTCAAACTATGTTCAGTGTATGCTATTGCCAGGGGGTCAGTGTCAGGGTCCCATGGAGGCCCCAAGCCTAGCTGCTGTCCATCTCACCAACCAATGCAGAGATCACTGTTTCAGCTGGTACTTCTCACTTGGTATGCAACGCTTCCCTGGGCTGGTCCCGAGGTACCTGGTCCCCTCTCACCTCATGGCCCACCTGAAGCCCTCCATGTGAAGTCACACCTCCGGGCCTCTGTTACTTTCCTTTGTTATCGTCTTCATCCCTGAGCTGCATCCCGCAGCCCACACCTCAGTCAGGAAAACTCTCTCCTTGCCACCCCTGGCACTTCCCCTTTACATCCATGAAGGACCTGCCCTGGTCAGCATGGCTCTCTAGTTGTATGCGTGCCAGTTTCCAATGTTGCACTGGAGGTTCCTTCAAGAAGGGGCCAAGTTTTACCAGAGAGTGAGAGAAAGTGCTTTTATAATTTACAAAACACTTTCCTCTCTGTTATTTCTTTGAACTTTGTTTTATTCCTCATTTTATAGTCGAGGCATCTGAGGCACAGAGAGGGCAGAGCTCTGGCTTGAGGTCACACAGCAGTGAGGGGCAAGGTGGAGACTGACAGCCAGGCCTTTGGCTATAGGAGTCAGATGCTTTTCCATACCCCTGATGCTACCCCCTCCCTCCACTGTGGCCTCCTTTACCTCAGGGACCCTGGTGCTGGGCAATCTGTAGGTTTTCCGATTCCTGGCTGAGTTCCAGTCAATTGAATTGGCCTCCAAAAAAAAAAAAAAAAAAGCTGGTGCTTGATAGTACCAAGACCAGGGTTCATGTCCACCGGGGGTTCGTTAGTCATTCCAAAGGGACTGAGTCCATCTATTAACCCTCCTTTAGCAGCGGTAGGGGTCAAGGTTTGAGTTCACTTCCTGTATCCTATACTTGCTAAGTATATGGCGTCTGTCAAGTGACTCCCATTTTCTGTGCCTCCGTCTCCTCATCTGTAAAGTGGGACTGCTGCCTACCTCACAGGGCAGTTGCAAACATAGCACAGGGCCTGGGATACAGTAAGTGTCATCACTGTTGGTGTGATATTTGCATTGACTGGAGAAATAATAGGCATTATTAACTTTCTGTTGAATCCTAGCCGCTGGACACAGAAAAGATATCCACCCTCCAATGAGAGTGAGATGGAAAGAGAATGTCACAGCCTATAGCCCAGCAGCTGGAACACCCTCTCATCTCTCTGCAGCTTTCAGGGCCAAGTGATGAATATTCACAAGCATTTTACAACAGAGCTAGTTTAGTAATGGTTAACCACCTGTCTCACTGTGCATATACTGTCCTACTGATCCAGGCTTGCTCCATCTACACATAAAGAAATTGAGGTTGATCCTTTTCTCCCCAAAATGACCCTGAGGTGGCCAGGGCATTGCCATGATCCCCAACTGGGGCTGTGGCAATAGGAAGTGGAAATTCAAACTATGTTCAGTGTATGCTGGGTATACCAGAAAGACTGAGGGCAGGAAGTTTGAAGGACTTGTCTGAAACACTCCCTTAGTGACAAAGCCAGGACTAGAAATTCAGGCACTGAGGCTGTGCTCCTGAGGCTCCTGCCACTCTCCACATAGGCACTGGGTACCCGATCACATGTCCTCTTTATATGTCAGCGTATTTTGTCTGTCTTTATAAGCAACCATGGAGTCTTTCTGGAATAATAAAGGATATAAAATAGCTGGGAAGATAGATGGATGGATGGTTGGATGGCTGGATGGATAGGTAGGTAGGTAGAGAGAGAGAGAGAGAGAGAGAGAGATAATAGACAAAAAAGGAAAATAAAAAAGCAAGTTGAGATTGCATTTTTGAACTCCATGTGCAAGGCACTGTGCTAAGCACTTTACAAAAATTAAGTCATTTAATCATCACAATTCCATGAGATAAGAAAGGCATCATTATCACCCCCATGCTGTGGATAAAGAAACTGAGGCACAGAGGATTGAAATAACTTGCCAGAAGTCAGACAGCTAGGAAGTGGAGAAAACAAGATTTGAACCCAGCAGACTGGCTTCAGAGTTCCTGCCGATGGACAGATGGGTGAACAGATGGATGGACAGACAGGCAGAAAAGGGAGCTTTTGGGCAAGTTGTCTTGCCAGCTCTTGCAGCTCAGAGATGCTCAGAGCGTGAACCACAGTTGCCCAGGACTCCATACCTAGATGTCCCTGTTTAGAAATCATGCCTCTCCTGCACTTTCTGGGGGCTGGTGAGTGCACTTGAAACTAATGAAGTAGACGCCTGTGCTGGAGTCTGAGAAGGTGGGAGGAATGGGGCTTAGGGGACTCACCCAAGTACCACCTGTCCATGGCAAGAGCGGCTGGCTATGTCCCGGTGGGAGAGAGTTGCAAGGTGCCTGTTGCTGAGAGCCTGGGTGGAAAGAGTGGCACTCCCTCCCTCCACAACTCAGCCAAACCCGCAGGAAGGAAAGACAAAGACAGGGAGGAGCCCTCCCTGTGCCAGCCTGCCTGGGCGGGCTGAGGCCAGGGATCCACGTGGGAGGGGGCCCCTGAGGGCGGGGGACGCTGCTAACCACCACAAAGCAAACCATGGCCTCTCCAAAGGATAGGTGCCACCCCCATCACCCTCCAGGCAACCCAAGGTGCCTGCCAAGGTTACCAGAGCCCAGGAGGGCACAGGTGGAGGCCAGAGCCGGCAGCATCACAGCCCCTGCTCTCTGCCCAGACGCTGGGCTACAGGTGGCTGAAGGAGACACGCAGGGGCATTTGTGGGTCCCCCTGAGCCTTTATTTAGCTTCACCTCATTCCTCCAGCCCAGCTAAGCCTTTACCCTGATGTCTCCTGTCAGAGCTTCACTCTGCATCTAGCAGTCGCCTCAGAGTGAACAGCAGCCCCTTGGAAGCTGCCCTGGGCGGGAGGCATGGGGTGGGATGCTTTTCTGGAGATGCGAGCTACAGCTGCAGTCTCCGCTGTCATTTCTGCAGCAGAGCAGAGCTGAGGAGCAGCTGCAGTGCTGCTCCCCATGGTACCCTGCCCTTCCTCAGCAGGGCCCTCACGTAGCCCCCGATGACACTACAGGCTGTGATGTCAGACCCGCAGCTCAGCAGCTTGCCTGGAGACACTGTGGCTTCATGAGGCCACTGAGGACTGCTAGTCCGTGCCAGACTGGAATGACCAGAAGACAGTGCCCTTAGGCACAGGGCAGGTGTGGAAGGCTCATCTCCCAGCTCCAGCCAGGGGCCCAGAGCAGGAACAGCAGAGACTTCCTACCCTGGCCCAGCCTCATCCCTGGTCCAGCCTCATCCTTGGTCCTTGGCTGCTGAGGCCTCTGACAGCCCAGAGCAAGGCCGCTACCAGTATCTCTGTGAGTCTCCTTGCTTGGCCACTCCAGCACAGACACTGAAAGTCAGGGACTGGAAGGTGTGCATTCTGACCCCAGCTTCTGACCAGAGTGATAACTCCCTTCTCTGTCCCTCCTCAGCTACGCGTCCCCACTAAGGGGTCGGTTAATGGTGCCCACAGACAGGAGCCTGGCAATCTCTGTGGAAGTGGGGAACGGACGGCTGGAGGGCCTTGATCTGGCGAGGCTGAGATTTGTCCTGGGGGCCCTGGCCAGGCAGCCGTGACTCCTGCTTCCATGCTGTCTACTCTACCACCCTGCAAGACAGGGGCAAATCCATCCAGGGGCAGAGTCGCTCATATAACCAGGCCTTGTGACGTGTTCCCAAGTAGAAACCTGTTCATTCAGGCTGCCTAAAGCTGCCGAGCGGAAATTCCCCAAGTGGGTCACTTCAAGAGGTTCATAAATCTTGGAGTTAGATGGTACTTTAGAGGTTGCCAGGTCCAAACTCATCAGTGGTCTGGAAAAGTGGATATCTCAGCCAACCTCCTCCTCCCTCCCCCCACACACGTACACACTCTATGTTCCCTGCCCGGCCTTAATGCTGTGAAGGAACACAGCTCAATCTTAAATGGAGACTTTGTGTCATAGACTGATTGACTGGGCAGGAAGGCCAAGGTTCTCCCACCCAACCCCTCACTTTACAAAGGGCTCACTTTCTTGCTCAAACGCCCCTGGGGTTCAGAGATTAAACCAAAGACACTTTCTGTGTCTTATAAAGCCTTTCTTAATCTGGCCTCCAACTTTGCTGGCCTTGTCTCCAACTTCTGTGGCCCCTTCTATGCACTCCAGCCATGCTATTCTCCTTGCTGGTCCTCTGACCCTCCAGGTATGCTCTGCCTCAGGGCCTTGGCACTGGCTATTCCCTCTGTGTAAACACTGTTCCTTCAGAGAACTTCCTGGCCAACCTGGCTCAGGCCTTTCTTCATAGACTGATACAAAAGACCTTCCTAGCTCCCCAGGCTCTAATTTTCACACCTGGTCTCTGAAACATTTCAAATCCCTTCTTAGCTTTATTTTGTTTTTTTCAGTAATGCTTATTACATCTGACAAGTTATGTTTTCCTCTTTTGACTAAAGTTCAAGCTCTAGGAGAACAAAAGTTTTTGTTTCCTATGTTCTTTCCTAGATTCCCAGTGCCTAGAATGGGACCAGGCACTTGGTGAACCTTCAGTTTTGTTAAATGAATGTTAAATGTTAAAATTCATTTGTTAAATGAATTTTGTTAAATTATTTTACCCCTGGTAAAATAATTTACCAGAACCTTAATGCAACCTCTTCCCATGAAATTACCTGCCCTATAATAGGTAGCAACAGCTAGCATGCACCCACAGAGAGAAGCATGTGGTCAGCACCTGCTGACAGCTCCCTTAGAATCCTGGGAGAGTTCCCCATTCCTGTCCCTCTCCTCACGCCACCCCCCACCACCGCCCCAGAGCTTCACCAGAAGCCCTGTGGCGGCAATTTTTACAGAAGTGTTCATTTGTCCCTTCTGGGGAAGCCCAGGCATTAAGAGTCCAGGAGCTTCTGCTCCTTTCGCTTCACTCACACCCAAGTCCCTCCTCAGGCTTCTCCCTTGTCTCCCACACCTCAGCTGACTGAGGTAATCAGGTCCTGACTGAAAATGGGGACAGAAACCTTCTCTCAGAGGCACCTTACTAGCCTCTAGGGAGGCCCTGGTTCTTTTAACCCATGGCCCATGATCTCCTGGACAGTAGCCCAGGAGAGCCTCTCCTTCCACAAATTTTGCATGCTGAGGCTAGCCACACCCGCGGTTAAATCCCTTTGCATCCTGACTCTTCACTAAAGACTATATGGTCCTGAAATGTTGCCCCTCTGGGGCTCGTTCTTTCATCTGTAAAATGAGAAGACAGCACCTACCTTGCAGAGTTGCTGTAGGACTTGAGAGGATGTAGATAAAAAGCCTGGCCAAAGAAGGTCCTATTAAGTGCCAGCTTCATTATCCTCACCCTTAGCTGGCCTTCCAGAAAAAAAAGACACCACAATCCCTTCCCTGGGCTCAGTACCCTGCCCGGGGTGATCTTTAGAGCAAGATCCCAGAGCGCCTTCCCCTCCCTGACCTTCAGCATGATCTGTACCAGCCTACCATCCACCTGGCGTCCCCAGCCTTCCTCTCCTCCCCAGACACCCACATGGTATGGCTGTTTCCTGCTGGCGTCTGGCCGCACTTGTAGTTCTTCCAGGCTTTTCCAGGATATGGGGTCAAATGTGGTGAGAGTGCTACTGTGCCATCCCAGAAAGATTACAGAGTAGGCACAACTTCCCCCAACCCCTGCCTCTGTTTGATTGTTCTAGGCTGAAGCCAAAGAGAGCCACGAAGCCACACTCCCAAGACCCAGGAATCAGGGAGGTCTTTGAGAAGCATGGAGAGGTAGCCCCAACTTCCTCTTCCAACACTGCCATGCCCCTGGGACAGTGTCCTCAGTTGCCATGCCTCAGTCTCCCCTGTCTTTCCCAAACAGGCCTCCACTTGTTCCCTGACTCTTCAGTCTCAGGGCAGCGGTCTGGACGGTCATTGTTGGCTCCGTGAGGTAGGGAGGTAACACGCCAGGGCATCAGCTGAGCTGTCTGTCTCGTGCTCAAAAATCAGCAACAAGGCAAAGGCCCTCACGACCAGCCTCCCCAGGATGTGAATTTCCAGCTCTGCCAGACCGCACGTGTAGGGGCTGCACAGCAGAGTGCACGCCTTGGACTCCAGGTCCCAGTTTGTCTTCCTGCTGATGGCTTGCAGCTGAAAAGAGGGCAGAAGACCCTAGAAAGTCCCGATTCCTGGCTTGAGTTGGTCCTCAGCGGCATGGCATGTGTGGACACTTGCAGAGAGGCTCCCAGGCCCCATCTGTGCTGCCTGGAGGTTCTGAACTCCAGGGAGTGCTGGCTCCTGTCTCCTGCTATGGCCACAGAGGCCAGGGTCACTGGGGGCTTATAAGGCGGGCCTGGCAGGAGGTGGGTCCTGCAGGGTCCATTCCTTAAGTGTTGGCTTCAAGATGGCCACGCCACGGGGCACACAGGTCCTGGGAGCTGCCAAAGGGCAATGCACTGAGTCAAGGTTACCGAGGCATTTCTGCTCCCTGAGCAGGCAGGGGATGAGGACATTTTCTTCTGTTTCTACAGCTGGTGGACAAGGGCAAACCTGTTTGACCTCTCCCACAGTGAATATACCCTGGAGAGAAATGTGTTCTTGACTTTTCTCAGAACTCACGTCTGGGCTTAAACTAGAGCAAAGGCTGTTTTTTCTCCAGCTGCAGCTCTTCTCTTCCAGTAACTACATCCCTCCTTATCTCTGAAAGCAGCTGCAGGCTCACTGCCACCTCCAGACAGACCTCCAGGAGCAGCCCCACCCCCTGCTGCTCCTTCCTTTCCTCCCTGATTTGATATGGCCCGAAAGGCTTGAATCTGGCTTTATAACTATCTTTGTCCTTTGTTTCACAGACTGCCAAGCCTATCCTGGCCTCGGTGAGGACTCAGATCACGATGTCTGTTAAAAGTCTGCGCCTTCACTGTCTGGTGCCCAGCTGTCCTCACTCAGTGACAATTCCATCCATTTCATGGTTCTCAATAGTTCCCAAGAGCTTGTGCCTCCTTGACCTGCTTCATTCCTCCCAACAACTCAGGCAAGCAGGTCTTGTGACACCCATTTTACAGAGGAGGAAACTGCACTGGTACATGAAATCAAAACTTAGATCCTGGTCTAACAGAGAGAAGGAGAACCATGCTATCAGAGAGAAGACAAGGAAATGGATTATAATATAAATATTAATAACATAATATCTACATGTAGAATTTTCTAAGTGTTCTTATGTCCACTCTATCACTCTGACCTTGTGAGGTAACAGGAAAGGTATGGACGGACCCATTGTACGGGTGAGGAAACCGAGGCTTAAGTGGCCCTGCTTACCCTATGGCTAGGAAAGGCTTCATTTTGCGGAGAAGGAAACCAACAGAGATGTTAGAGTCTGCCCAAGCTCACACAGCTAGAGAGAAGAGGGGAACACAAAAGAATGAGAATGTCCTGAGTGCCCTTCTGCTCTGCCAGACTGCACCCAAGCCTGTGCGGTGAAGGGGGCCCCATCCCTGACCAGCCTCTACCACCCCAAGACCTTCAGAACATCTATCGCAGCATCATCTGCTCTGCTATCACTGCCTTGGCACATGCCCCACTATTATGCAACCAGGCACAGGGTTGGGGTTGGCCCCATAAAATCAACAGCCAGTTGGCTTGAGCTGGCTGATTCTGCCCCCCTGGAGTTCAGCTGCGACAGCAATGAATCACACTAATGGTGAGAGAGGTGGCCATTCTTCCTCTTCGTGGCCTGGAGACAGATATTTCCAAAGCTCCTCCCCTGGCTCAGACAAACACACTTGACCTACCTTCTTGCTCTCACACACTTGAGGTGGGGTGAACCAGACAGAGCTGGACAGCCCTCCCACACCAGCTCTGCTCAGCCACCCTGCCCGGGAGTGATCCCAGGAGGGCAGGCCTCCCCTGCAGAGGAAGGGAGGAGCCAGGCGACCTTGGGCTGAGCGACAGCCCAGCATCCCTCTCACCCACCCCACCCTCCCTGCTGCTTGCACTCTGCCTCTGACACTTTCAAGAACAATTTGGCAAGTTCCAAGCCACAACATGCAAAAAGCAAGAGTGGGGTAGAGGCCACAGCTTAGGGGCCAGGAAAGCAGATTGACCTATTTTTGTGTGGTATTAAGTAACACAAACACCTCCATGCAAAGACTTCTAAATCTTTGGAGTGGAATTCATGGGGGGGGGGGGGCAGGGCATGGGGAGTCGTTGGGAGGTGAAATGTGCACCTGAGGTGACCGCAGGACACCTGAGGTCACAGTCTGAGACCGGGAGACCGAGCACTCCCTTTCGGGAAACGACCCTGCTGGACAGCTTTCCTATTCAATCAAGTTACATTGTCTATTGCCAACCAAATCACATATATGTCATGTGCCTTAAAGTTGACTGGACAGACGTGGCTCTATCCAGAAGGAAGATACACATTAAGCAGAAATCCATGCATGGATTCTGGATTCTTCTTCCCTGGCTCTGCAGTGCTAGACCAGAAAGGGAGAAGCTGGTCTCCCACTGGTGAAGGGGGCAGGAGGGAGCTGTCCCAATTTGGGCGTGGACACTCCAGTTTGGGGTCATAACATCTGTGGGAACTAAGGACTCCCTCACAGGAGGCCAAGTTCTGCTGCCCTCGCTCGTCCACCTGATGGGCCTACCTTCTTTCCTCTGCAGTGCAGAGTGGCACTGGGCTAGGTCTTGGCTTTGCCACCAGAATTGCAAACTCAGGCAAGTCTCACCAAGCCATCATATAGGCTTGTGAGTTCCGAATGAGTTGATACATGTGAAGTCCTCAGCCCAGTGTTTGGCACATAGCAAGTACTTGATAAATGTTAGCTGCTTTTATTTTATCATCATCATCATCATCGTTGTTGCTTTTTACAATCAGTCTCTTTATCTGTTCTTCATGTGTCATTTCCAGACCACTCACCTCCCACAAGATGCCCCCAGAGCAGTCCAGCCAGTTTAGGCCTGGGAGGATCCAGATGTGGTCTCTCCAGTCCAGGCGATCCTACCTTTGGTGTGGGCACCAGCCTTTCCCTGGAGGAAGCCAGGACACCTGGTGGGCTATACAGAAATTTGGAGACAGGCTGCGTACCCTAGCTCAGTCACAAATTTACCAGAGAGAATCTATTCAATGGAATATCTTACCTACCTTGGAGATAATGGTGGATTACCAGGGGGAGACACAAGTAGATGTTTGAAGTCTGGCAAAATAGGGATAATCATTTGTACATATGCTAGATAGGAGAACTATCATTCTCTATTATTAACGCAATTGTTATTATGAGAAAGATCAGAACCTCCTGATTGGACTTCCTTCCACCTATTTTTACAGTTTAATATCATTTTTAATAACAAATAGGGGGAGGTACCCACCCCAGCCTTCTGTGGCCCTGGGACCTCCAAGGGTCTTCATCTGGTTGTGCTGTGAAGTTCCTGCAAGGCCTGTAAATCCCCTGACCCATGAGTGCTCCATGGATGGCGATCATCACCTTATTCACAAAGTTTAAGCGTGACTAGGCTTTTCTAACCACAGTCATCGCTGGGTTGACAATGTTGGGCTTGGTCTCCACTATAAGCCTCAGTCTTTCCAAAGACCTGGGGGACTGAAGATAGAAGCAGGCACAGAAGTAGGGCAGGCAGCACGGCAGTTGGGGTGGAGGGAGGGGGCAGGGAGTCACTGGCACCCACCTCCACCCTAGTCCCTCAGGACCCATGACTTGCAACTCTGCAGCTCTAAACAACTCACGAAATCTGGGCAGACTCTATGAATGTTTTTTGGAGTCCCTAAGATGTTCCAGGCATTCTTATGTTATATTAGAGTAATACACAGTTCTTGTCCTCTAGAAAGTGTGTCTCACAAAAAGACACATAGAGGTGGGGGCCACACAGCAATGACCCAGAAAGGGACTTGTCTCTCAGTTGTGCTTATTTGGCCAGTAGTACTTTTTATAAATCTGAACGGGAATGTCTTTGGAAAGACACTCTAGGTGGCCCTCTATGCCCCATCTATTATGTCATGACAGCCAATTCACAAATGGACATTATCTGCCTGCCCTCTACAGTCCGGATCCAAGGTACGGTGTATTAAATGTAATGATAAAGGCAGGAACCAGTGTGACCAGAACACAGAAAAGACAAGACTCATTCTACCTGAAGTCCAGGAAGGCTTCAGAGGAGGCGATATTTGGATTGGTAGAAAGATAAAAGGCTGGGATCATAACCCGAGTGATCACCTCTAACCCTTCTTTGTCAGATCCTTAGGTAGTGGCCCCAAAGTGGGAGGTTAGAACTTTTCCTTTTAGACCAGTGAGCCCTCCGTCAAGCCACTGTGCTCCCTTCTCTCCAGGACTGGCATAAGGTGCAGGTACTGATGGTGGAGGAGGTGAGGAAAATAGGGGGGAGCAGGAGGAAGGAGAGGTGAGAAGGGGGGATCTGAGTGAAGGAGGACAGAGGAAGGGGAGGGAGGAGAAGCAGCATGGGGCGGGGGTGGGGGGAACCTAAGCATTAAAGCAGCTGGAACAAACAAGCACTACTTTGCCATCTCTGTAGCCCTCACTTCCTCCCTCTGACCAAGGACAGAGTTCCTCTGGCCCTTCAAATATTTGAGTTCTTTCGCAGAAAGGAATGCACCTCAGAGCCACTAGGAAACAAATTGTATTTTATTCCTTGCCGTTGTTGAAAGGATAGGTCACAGCACACATAGCAGTCCTGGCACATGTTAAGTTAGTTTCCAGGATAACACGATGGACGGGGTGTTGGGGGGGGGGTGCGGGGGAGGTCTGGTTCAACTTTCCACTTTATGACCTTTGACCTCTTGCTGTAGGGAGCCCTGTCTGGTCTCCAACTTGCAGCAGAGCCACTGCACTCCTCAGTCTGACCAGTGACAGGAAAAGCAAAGGGCGCAGCAGCCATTGCTGGTGCCTGACCAATGGGCGTGGACACAGAAGCAAAGGATCCCTGCTTTCCCAGCTGCCCCTCCCCAGGATGCTGCCCCACCAGAATGCATGGCCTGCCAGAGACCCAACTCAAGAATGGGAGTCTGAGTCCAGACTAGCTGGGCTATAGAGCAGAGCCTTGGGAGCAGGGAAGGTAGGAGGGGGTAGGGATCCAGAGCCCAAGGGGTTATTGCTGAGAAGATAAGCAAGGGGCACGTTCCCCAGGGGCAGAGGACAAGACGTGGGCCTGGCCTCCCTGGCCACTCCACAATGGGGCAGGGCAGCTGGCAGCTCCATGGTGGAAGTCCCAGAAGAAAAATGACCAGGGAAGGGGCATCGCCAGCTTGAAGGTGTAGCTGGGCTCACCAGCTCCTTGCTGTGACCCTCCAGTTGCTAAGAGACCCTCAGAACAGACTAGGGTCAGAGGTGAAATACAGAAGCAAGGTTCTTGCAAAAGGAGTGGAGAGAGGCCATGAGAATGGTCATGAAGGCGATGTAAACCTTCCCAAGTCCCAAGGTGAGTGGAGACTCCCACCTGGGCCCCAGCACTATACCCACCACTAAATCAAGAGAAGGGACTGATCTCTCAGGGGAAGAGCAGACTCCCGGGAGCAGAAGAGGAGAGGGTGCCGCAGGGGAACAGGGAGGAGCTGATGGTGACGTGGCTCAGCTCCAGCCCAGGAAAGTGAGTTCAGGTTCACTAAACAATGTCACCCACAGAGAAGCAGGCACGAAGACCACAGTCGTCACACACACGCACACACGGATACATCACAGGAGGTGGGCAAGCCCCACAGGCTGCAGCTGGGAAGGCGGGTGTTAGCTGTGGCACTAAGTGAGGACTGGTGTTCAGGGGATGGGGAGGGGCAGGGGACACACAAGTTCTTGACTTCTCCTGGCGAAAGATCTGCTGCCGAAGTGGCCCATCTTCTTAAGCATCAACATTTGCATCTAAAGGTTCAAGCAGCTGCCTTCAGGTTCTGGAAGCTGAAGAGGGAGAGAGTTTAATTTAATTTAATTTTTTATTTTAGAGAGAGGCAGTGGGAGGGAGAAAGAGAGAAGGAGAAACGTTTTGAGAGAGAAACACTGATCGGCTGCCTTCCATACGTGCCCTGACTGGGGACCTAACCGTTGGCAAACTTTCGTTGTTCAGGATGATGCCCACCCAACTGAGCCACACCAGACCAGGGAGAGGGAGAGAGTTTACATTTAAACAAAACTCTGGCTCCTTTCAGAAATCTTCAACTGCTTATCTCCTGGCCTTTAGCTCACTGAAACTCACAGGGTGAGAGACCCCTTGTAAGTGCCATGTTCCCAGTGAAGCAAGGACAGCCTGCGATTCAGGACAAGGAGATGAAGGCACAGGAGGGGCGGCCTCAGGGTATAGGCGCTCTCAGGAGGGCCAGACCCTGCTTAACATGGAAAGGGAACTTTTAAAGCAGAGTCTATCCCAGGACACCCTCAATAGTTGCTCACAGTCTGAAGACCGAGGAGAACAGGATTAAAAAACCTAGTTTAAAAAAAGAGAGAGAGAGAAAAGACAAGGCAAGATAACCGCTAGCTCCAGGCTCCCTCCCTTGAGCCTTCCCATACCACGCCCAGACCGGCCACCCCAAAATAGACACCTGCCTCCAAGGCTGGCTCCCGCGGCCACCTCAGCTCGGCAATCAGTCTCTCAAGCCCCATAGAGAAGATGGATGTCAGGAGCCCTGCTCTGCTCTCCTGACACCCACGGGGCTTTAGGCAGATCTAAAATCACTTTGGGAAGAATTCGAATGCTACAGAAGCACACCGTGTCATTCCAATGAGAGAAAAAGCTGGTGTGCCAGGCACTACACATCCAGAAATCTCTTTTTAACTTACAGTTTAGGATAAAGGTATATGCCTTATCCTAAAAATGAGCTGACAGAGGTCTGATCCCTGGGCCCAGTATTTTCCAGGGTATGTATGTCACAAAGCAAGGCAGGCAGGAGTACAGGTGTGTGGTGAAAACGGCCCCAGACTACAAAGGTGTGAATTCAGGTTCTAGTCTGTCACTTACTACCTGTATGGCTATGCTCTCTGACCTCAGATCTGCAGTATCTGCAGAACGGGGTAAACGCTGCCTGTGCTGGCAGGCTCCAGTGGGCCTGTGTGTGACAGAATTTTGAAATTGGTAAAGCATTTAACAGTTATTATTGTACTTTCCCTGCTCCTACAATGAATAATGGGAAAGGGCACTACAAAGAGCACCCCTAAATGCTGAGAATTGACAGCACTGGTATGCGCAGAGGTGGGTAAGGCGGGGTGTCATATACTAGCCTCTTGACCCTTGGGTAGGGTTGGAAAGTTTCACAATAAAGTGTAAATTTTAAAAAGTGGCCGCAAGGAACTTGCTGAATCATCGCTAAGAGCCAGTATCTTCATGCTACTCTGATATTAGAAGTATTTCGCTAACTCTAATTCTCTCACAAGTCAGGCCCACATGGCAGCTAGGGTGATGCCCTATTACTTGACGACAGGGACTATGTCCGTCTGTCTCATCACCCCTTTCAGACGCAAGGCTCCTCAGAGCACAGCTCATAATAAAAGCTGTGCCCAATGCAAAAGCTAGCTCAAGTCTTCCCTAGTAAAAGCACTATGATGGTGCGAGAGGGAGATGCAGGCAGACAGCACCTTACCTTCCCTCCTGAGGGCTGCACTTCAGTTCTCCGCTTTCTGGGGCTCTGTTGCTGGAGAGTAAAGCAGAACCGATTATAGCGAACTGACCCTCCCCCCCGAGGGCTGCCCCTGCAGCAGCCATGCCTGTGCCAGACTCTGGGGGAGCCTGACCCATACAGCAAGAGGTGACTCGGGGGGCATTTCGAGTCAGACAGACCTGTGTGCCAATCGTTGCCCGGCTACTTGCTGGTCATAGGAACTTGGCACATTCCTTAACTTTTGAATCCCTCGATTATAAAACTGGATAGTGATGCCCGCCTCATGCAGCTGTATGCACATTAAATGAGACTGGGGGTGGGGGGGAAGTATATGACACACTTTGTCATCGCGGCCACCGGGAAGAGTAGCCTGCTTGGTGGATCTGAGGAGACGTGGGCAGGGGGTCATGGCAGTTACCATTTGCAGTGATGAGGTTCTCCCCCTGGGCCTCCTCGTCCCCTGGAGCCCTGCAAGAGGACAAGACGCATGCCCTTCCGTCAGAGGCTTCCAGGGCAAACCCAGAGAGCATCACCATTGTCCCGTCTGGGGCAGGGCTGCCCAAGTCATCTGAAGGCTCCAGACTCTCCATGGGGCTCAGGGGTGAGGGAGAAGGCGGCAGGGCCAGGCACCCTTCAGTGCCAGCCCCAGCCCCAGCCCTAAGTACTGGGAAGGGTGGCCTAGGGCTTCCTGGGGGCTTGGGTTGTGTCCTGCCACAAACTTTGGATTTCTGAGGTCCAGAGCTACCTTGGCTGTTGGAGTGGACTAATGGGGTGGGCCTCTGATGTTGAAGTAGAAAGGTGAATGAAAGGGAGACCGAGCTTCGACTCAGCTCAAAGAGCCTCATGAAAAGGTGACAAGCAGAGACAGTGTCAGATCCTGAAGAAAGGAGATGGACCTCAAGAGAGGCCCTGATACCCTCTACCTCCCCTCTCCTGATCCCAATTGTCTCAAGGGCCTGCAGACAAGGATCGAGCGCCTTCTTGCCCACTCATCAGAAGAGGAGGCGCTAACCATCAAAATCTGCCTGGCAATCCTCAAAACTTCGGCCCTACCCTCAAAGCACATGGCCTGTTTCTGAGACAAGAATCTAAAATACTCATTTGGGTCTTACACAGCAAGGCTCCCTTCCTATCTCCCACTCTCTCCCCCAATGTCCTCAACCATGGCATTCTTACCGCGGCTTCTGACTGAAGCTGCACTTGCATCTGCGACCTGAAAGTCAAAGAAATCATTCAAGGTCATGCTCCTGGCTCAGCCACAGCAGTGCTGCCCTGTGAGTCAGCACAGGCTGTGGGACCAGGCGAACAGGACTCCCTACACCTGGTCAGAGCACAGCTGCCACAGCTGTAGGTGGCAATCCTAGGTTGCAGGAGGACTTTTCTGAGGCCCAGGTTTAACACCAGCTGGAATGGCTAGACCACCAGTCTGCCTGATAGTGCCAGTGCAGTGGGTTCCGTGGAGACCGGGCTTACAGGGGAAAACGCGCGGGGGCATGTCCCTCAGAGCACGCTAAGGACAGCCTCTGTGTCCTCTGACTCCCCACTCACACCCTGCTGGACACAGCGCCAGGAGGGCCACCCTGCCTGTCTTCTTATCTGTACTTCCTTTCATCAAGCATTTATTTCGTTCATGCTTCATTGTTTTACCGAGCACCTATTATGTGCCCAGCCCTGTATTGGGTCCTAGGGATAACAGGGAGAACAGGCAGGCTCCTTCCCTCTCCAGGAAAGGGAACATCCAGGCTCCTACGCTGCTTTCACCTGCTTGGCAGCAGATGTTGCTCTTAGGGAGTGAGCGAAGAAACTTACTCAGGATCAGGAGGATCCCAACAGAGAAGAGGACCACAGCAAACACCAATCCCCCGATCCTCAGAGTCTGGTAATCTGCCAAAGGAACGGGGTGAGAGATGGGAGAAGAGGAGGGGCCAGGGAGAGCGTGCCTATCTCTCCCCTGACTGGGCTGTGTTCCCCCTCCTCACCCAGGGCTCTGTCACCACTCACCATAATGAAAAGGGTCCTTTTCTTTCTCCTGCTCAGCTGCTGCAAAAGTAAACAAGTCTGGTCAAGAGGAGGACAGTGCCACATCTTGGTTCCCGAATACCGAATACCGGACCTTGCCCCTCAGGCCTCCCCCCAACAAAGGGGTACCTGGGAAGCGGCTCCTATTAAACAGGAGCCTGGAGAAGCATGAGAGGCAGGCCTGCCTGCTAGCCCAGGGCAGGCACAGCTCAGAGCCCCAGTGAGAATCTGTGTTCACAGCACAGCCACATACATTTATGGTCCCTTCTTATTCATATCATCCCCAAAAGGCGGGGTCTACTTCCCTCATTACTGATGAGGAAACTAAGAGTAAGGGAAAACATGTGACCTGCACAAGGCTGGAATCTAAAGACTGATGTGCAGGTCTGGCCCCCAAAGTTCTGGCCAAAAGTCTACAGGGGGCTGGTGGACCTGAGGCTTAAAAGCAGACCCGGCTGGAGCCTTTGCGGAGGGGTAGGCAGGCTAGATGAGGGTCCGTGGATAGCTGCCGACTTCCAGGATGTTTTCTGCTAAGGTAGGAGCGGGGGACTGATCAGACATGTAGAATCTGAGAGTCCCAACCCTAGAGTCCCAAAGGGCCAAGAGGAAAGGCCACAGCTGCCATCCTATCAGAGCCGAGTCCTAGGGCGCACTTACCACTGGCCAGGATGGCGGGGGCCAGCAGACTGCACAGGAAGATCAGCACCGCCTCCATGGCGTCTGGGGACAGAGGGAGGAAAAACGATTCCCTGGATAGGAGAATCCCCACTCCAACCCTCAGCCTGACCAGGGGCCCCGCTGAACTCCCAGATCTCCACATGGGGCAGGTTCCACCAACAGAGCAGAAGCAGCTGACATTCATTGGACTCTTACAAAGTGCTCTGTTTGCACTAATTCAATTACTACGATTGAACTGATACAGTTAGTAGGCAGCGTGACTAACCTCTTTTGCAGGTGAAGAACCTGAGCTTAAAGGGGTTAGATGGCACTCATGGCAGTGAGCAACAGAGCCTAGATCCTAACCCAGACAAGCAGCTCGTCTGCACCTGCCTCTCTAGTGCCAAAGCCATAAGCCCTAATGGTTTTGGAGACAGCTCATCAGTGACCTCCTCTCCAGGTCACCCTGCTGTGATCATCTTGAGTTCATTAAGATGCCTAGGACTCCCTGGTCTGGTTTCCCATAGCCAAGACCCATGGTTGGAAGCTCTTCCTCCTATCAGGTTAAACAGTACAGGTAAACCGGTGCTGGCTCGTGTCTGGCCAGCAGGGTGGGGCGCAGGAGCAGCAGTGTCCTGAACTCTGGGAAACCTGGAAATGCTGACAGCCCTCCCTAAGTTACCCCCCGAATCCTACCTCTAACGTGTCCAAGCCAACTCTCCCCATAGGCTTCAGTTCACAATCCTCCAGAAAGGTCGTCTGATTAAACAACGGAAGTGTGGAGACTGGTTCTCTGAACATCAGCGCCCCTGCGTCTCTCTCCAAAAGACACCCGAGACTTCTGCTCATGAGCTCATCAAGAGCTCCTGGTCTCTGGGGTCAGTCACCCCAGGATGTGTCATCTGGATAAAAGGGCCAGTCAGTCCCTCCTAGGGGAAGATTTCAGTGGAATTACACACACCTCATTCCTGGGCTTAAAGGAGTGTGGTGAAAGCCAAAGAGAAAGGGTTGGGGGGAAACCTGAACCAGGAAAGCCAGAGACTGTTTGCTCTTTTCCCTGTGGGGTGAGACTGGTAGTGGCCTGACCTCCTGAACATCTGCCTAGTGGCCAGGACCCTGCTTGTTCTGAGGGATCTCGCCTTACTATTTCCCCTGGCCCAAGCCAGCAGCACCCAGCTGCCCTTCCCCTCACAGCCACCAGGGGTCAGGACAGCTGCATCCAGAGTCACCCTAAGGCAGACCTCAGATTCGGAGAGGATTCAAGAAGCGTTTTTCAAAAGGCACTTTGGCTTTTAACACTACCTCGTTTAATATTTCTATTTCTTTAAAACTTTACCTATTTTATATGTATGAAAAATATATACAACACACATAATAAAGCATAGTAATAAGATAAGTAGAACTTTACAAATACTGCTGTACTTACCTAGCTTTCCTTCTGTCCTGTGTCCCCACTCCATTGCCAGAGGTAAACAATATCCTGAACATATGTATTTTTAGTCTTTCCCTTGCTCTCTTCAAAAAGTTTTTACATTAAGAAGTCACATGCCATAAAATTCATTATTTTTGAAAGTGTATAGTTTAATGGCTTCACAAAATGGTATTTCACAAAATGGTACAAGCATCATCAATTCTAGAATATTTTCATCATCCCCCAAAAAACTCTGTAACCATTAGTGACTCCCATTCTCCCCTCCCCCCAGCCCCTGGCAACAACTAGTCTATTTTATTTCTTTGGAGTTGCCTATTCTGGGTATTTTATATAACAAATCATAATACATGTGGCCTTTCACATCTGATTTCTTCCACTTAGCATAATGTTTTCAAATTCATCCATGCTACAGCATGTGTATTTCATTGCTTTTTATGGATGAGTAAGTTTCCACTGTATGAATATCCATTCTGCTATTCTTTTAAAAAATATATCTAAATAAGATAGTTTAGTGGAGATTTTTTTAGCTTTATAACTATGAAAGCATGTAGGGTTTTTTTCAGTCTTATGTGACTGGTTTTATTTTGTTCAACACTATGTTTCTAAGATTCATCCATATTATTACCTGTAACCATACTCCATTTATTTTCAATGTTGCGTAATATTCATTTATGCCAGTATATTATCATGTATTTGTCCTTTCTCCTGTCAGTGGGCACCTCCCCCACCTCCAATTTTGTGCTATTATAAATAATACAGTAGGGAACACATCTGGGCTTGTTGCCAGGGCACACGTCTAAGAGTTCCAAAGGCACCGTTTCTCATATCTTGACCACCACTCTCGTAAGAAATACTTTTTACACTGGAACCCAGTAAAAATGTACATACATGATCACCAGAAACCATGTCACAAAATACTTAACCTTAAAATGAATGTCCTCTGATATTTTCTACCCTACCTTTTATTTTAAATGGCCAGGACCATTAATGGGGCACACTCAGCAGTTTGAGAAATATGTTCTAGAGACAGGCCTAGGGGTGAAGTCGTTGGGTAGCACAATATGCAGACTGTCAACTTTACAAAGTAATTTCAAATTGTTTTCCTAAATAATCTTCTTCATTTTAACATCCCACCAGCTGCGTAAGATTGTTCTTACTACTCTATGTACTTATTAATACTTGATACTATTAGATTGCATAATTTCTGCCAGTCTACAGGTATAAAATGTGGTATTGATTTTATTTTAGTAATGAAGTTGGGCTTCTTTGGTTGTTTGCCATTCCTGTTTCTTCTTCAGTGATGTCTTTCGTGATTTTTGCTGCTTTCAAATGGGTTGACATGCTATTCATTTCTTATTCTAAGTACTAAATTTCTGTCATTAAGTACCGCAAATACTTCATCTCAATTAGTGGCTGTCTTTTCCCTTTTTAAAAGTCTTTCAATGAATAGAATTTCATAATCCTAATGTAATTAAATGCAATGATATTTGTAGCTTGTTTAAGAAACTTTTTGTCACCCTGAGTCAGAAAAAGAATTTTCTTCTAAGAACTGGAAATCTTTGTCTCTTACATATAAATGTTTATTCCCTCCAGCACTGATGTTTGCCTAAGATGCGAGGTAGGGATCTACCTTCTACTTCTTTCCATACTGATAACCAGTTGTCTTAGCACTGTCTGTGCACCCCTCTCCCTCTTTCCTCAGGAAGCACAAAGCCACCTGTTTCATATACCTGCTTCTGCTTTCTATTTAGATGCGGGGTTTGGGGCTTCTCTTTGGTCAATCTTGGTCAATTGTCTAACCCTCATCAAAATCACAATGTGTCAATTACTACAGCTTTACAGAAACCTTCTCATGTGGTACAGAGGCTTCCCTCTTCTTTTTCTCCTCTCTCTTCTCTTCCTCGTCCACCTCTTCCTTCAGGAATGTCTTCACTATTCTTGATCATTTGCTCTTATATATAAACCTTAGAATCAGGTTGTCAAAGTCATCTAAAACTGTTGGGATTTTCATTGGAATTAAAATAGATCTCTCTATAGAACAACTTGGGGGGAACTGACATTCTTCTGACCTTGAATCTCCTATCTATAAATAAATCTTTTCACTTGGATAAGTGCTTTTCAATATCCTTTAATCAAGTTTTATAAATGCTTTTATATAGGTCTTCTACATCTCCTATTATTTATTCCTACGTCCCTTACAGCTTTTATTGCTATTTTAAATGCTACATATTCTGTGTGTTTTCCAATTTTTGCTGGTATAGAGAAAAGCAATAGATTTGTATATATTGATCTTAAATCCAACAATCGTGTTAAACTGTCTTATTATTTCTAATAATTTACCTTTAGATCCCTTTGGATGTTCTCTGTAGACATATCATCTGTAAGTCATACAGTATTGTTCCTTCTTTTCTAGTTCTTACACTTTTTTTTGTCTATTTCTTTTCTTAGTCACTGCTTGGAATTCCAGTGAAACGTAGAACAGAAGCACTGATAACAGACACACACACACACTAACACATATGGTCTTATTACTGATTGTATTTTATTCTCTGTGTTTATTTTTTATTTTTCCCAGCTTCATTAAGATATAATGCCATACAACACTGTAAAAGTTTACCATGTACAACACGACTTGATACATGCATATATTGTAAAATGACTACCACAATGTGGTTAGTTAACATCTCCATTACCTCACCCCCACATATACAATGGAATATTATTCCGTTATAAAAAGGAAATAACTGATTTTAAATAGCATTCTTCTAATGTTTTAAAAGTTCCCCCCTAATCCTGGTTGTCCAAGATATTTCTGTTTTATTTTCCCATTTAATATATCAATGAAATAAATTACATGTACATTGTATGAATCATCTAATATTAAGTAATCCTTTCATTTCTGGGATGCAACCAATGTATTACCTTTTTAATAAACCAATGGATTTGATTTGATGATTTTTTTTTTTTTTTTTTTTAGGATTTTTACATCCATGGGCACGAGTAAGATTGGGCTGCAAGTTTTATTTTATTGTATTCATTTTGCCTGCTTTTGGCATCGTGGTAGTACTGGCCTCACAGAGTAAGTGTTTCCTTTCTTGCTATTCCCTGTAAGAGTTTGCAGAAGATTGGGATAATCTGTTCTTTGAATGTTTGTTTACTAGAACTAACCTGTAAAATCCTCTAGGCTTGGTATTTTCCTTGTGGATTTTAAATTGCCTATTAATTAATTGCTATGACACTTCAGATTTCTATTTCTTCTTAAATATATTGAGTTACAGTTTTTATAGAAGTTTGCCCTTTTCTGCTTTCAAATTTATTGCCATAAAGTTGTTTATAGTATTTACTTATTATTTTAATTTCTGTTAGATCTGTAGTTATGTCCTTTCTAACATTCCTAATATTGTTTATGTGTGAGAACTCTTTGTTCCTGATCAACCTCATTAGAGGTTAAACTATTTTATTAAGCTTTATTGAAGAACCAACTCTTGGATTTGTTATCCCTCTATAGTGTGTTTTAAATTTTTTTAAATTTTCTCCTTAAACATTCTTGGATTTATTCTCTTGCTCTTTTTTTATATTTATCTTCTTATGTTCAATATCTAGTTCATTAATATTTCATCTTTCTTACTTTCTAATATAATCATCGAAGACTATAAACCCCTAAGTGTCATTTTCACTCTACCATATAAGTTTTGAAATGTGTTTTTTTAATCATTTTTTAGTTATTAGGTGAAATTTAGTTATTTTAAAAATTATATTCCACGTATTAGGTGATTGTGAATTCATTTTTGGGAATAAAGTCTTATATGCCATTAAATCATAATTATCAACTGTGTTAAATTTTTACATATTTTCTCTCTTTGACCTATCAAAAAATTGAGATAGGTGCTTTTAAAACTATGTTATGAGGAAAGATTTATAAATGTTTATTTAAAAAAATTTTTTTTAAATAGTTTAAAAGTGAAAGTGAGCAAAATTAGGTTTACAGTTGTTCATATGGAAAAAGGCAAGCAGGTTATCATTATTACAATTGCTTTATTAAGTCTAAACAATGTCACTGTGTAACTGTAAAACTCCTTTTGCCAACCACTATATTGGCCTGTGAGCTGGGTCTCTTAGAATTACACAGTGATCCTCTCTATCTTAAATTCTACGATTTTCTACCTTTTGTGTCCTTAAGCACTTTGTGTGTCTTGTAAAATAGCAAAGAGCTAGATCTTTGAAAACTGTTAACCTGATAATCTGTACTATTGACTTTATTTAACTTTATTGTGATGATGTATTTGGTCTGACTTCTACTATCTATTTTTCCCTTACTTTTCTTGTATTTTTTTCTCTTTCTTTTGTTTTTTGATTATTTTTTTCTTATTCACCTTCTCCCTCGACTGATGGGGACATTACACAAGCTATTCTGGTGTTTTAGTATTTGCCTTTGGAATTTTACTGCATATACTTGCTCTGGACTACATGTTTCTGTCCTCCAAAACTCCCATGTTGAAACCTAATCCTCAATTTGATAGTTATAAGAGGTGGGGCCTTTGGGAAGTGATTATGCCATTAGGGTGGAGCCCTCAGGAATGGAATTCGTGCTCTTATAAAAGATATTGCAGAGAGCTCTCTAGCTCCTTCTGCCATATGAGGGCTTGGCAAGAATACAGCTGTCTATGAACTGGGAAACAACTTCACTGAACACTGAATGTGACGATACCCTTATCTCTGACTTCCAGCCTCTTGAACTGCAAGAAATAAATTTCTGTTGTTTATAAGCCACCTAGTCTATGGTACTCTGTAGCCTGAATTTAGTCAGTATCCAATGTACCAAAGACTAAAAGAAATCTACAGTTAAAAGATATAATAGATATTAGGTATAACACCCTTCCTGAAAAATACAAATCACCTCCTTCCTGATATACGTGCTATTATTGTACAGATGTAGTAGCCAGCCTACAAGATAGTCCTTAATACGTCCTCGTATTTATACACCAGGTACCTTGTATAGTCCCTTCACAGGAGTTAGCCGGTATGACCAAAAAAGCCTGCTACAAACTAAGGCCTGCCCCAAAGCCTGTCACTGAGTGTGGGAGCAGATCCTGCCGCTTTCACACGGTAGCCACCTTGGCTGACAGCCTGACTGCCATCTCATTAAAGACCCTGAGCAGAATCACCCAACTCCCTGACTCC